ACTTGTGGATAAAGATTCCATCTCTGTCACCAATTTTCTGTAAAATGAACCAAATCTTGTAAAAGTATATAATAGTTAAGCGATAATGCCACATATTTCAGGCACAAACAGTTCGCTGAATGGACCCACAAAGCATATTCTTTAAGAATTCTTTGAGCCATTTCTTTCAGAATTTAACGAATTGATAGAAAGGAAAATAAAATATTTCTCTCTTGCTACCAGCAATCTTACAACAGCATATAAATATTTTGAGCGATTCTATTGTGAAGCTACCGGTTGTGCTCCGCTATTAAAAGCATTCGTCAGGTGATAGTGATTTTAGAATTAATAATGATCTATAGTAAAATAAGTCTAAGTACCAAGAAAATATTCAGACGTATGAAATGCAGTTTGAAATTTCCACGTCTATCTCAACATCCGCACAACAAGCCTGGATCATTCTAGTTGGAATCGGCAATAGAAATGAGCTAAAGAAAGGAATTCACTACAATTTATTGGCATTTTCAAATAAATGGGATTTCATCAAATCTTTACAAGGATCAGTTCAATAAAATCCACGCAACTCATATGAGCAATGCCAAATTGATATCGTTTGCAGAATTTTTGCCTTCTTTCGTATTCATTTCTTGCATGGTAGGAAATGATTTTTTGAATTTTGCAACTATTATGCTTGCTATATGCTATATGCTTTAAATATTTTATATATTTTAATATTCGTCGAATATTTTGATAAATTACTTCGCTTTTTCAATGCGATTTTTAGGATTAATTAATTGCCGAAATTGGATTAAATTTTGTTTCATAAATTCAGAAGTATTTTCGAATATTTTGAAAAAACTTTGAAAACTTTATTTTTAGGAAAATTTTCAATTTTTGAAAAATATTTTTTAATGAATCTTATGAATAACAATTAAATTAATTAGATTAGATTAAATAAAAGGTTTTTTTTCAAGACAATGCCCCTGCGAATGAAACCACAAGACTCTCAAAGCTTAGCGTTATGAGACAGAGCTCCACAAGTATCCACCTTCAAACAATATTTCTTCAAACAGCATTTTGAAGATATAAAAGTTATAATAAGCGATAAGGCCTACTTCAAAAGGGGGCATGTCATATTCTTAGTGAATTCTGCCCATATTAGAATCTGATTGATTGATTGAAAGATAAGGATAAATAATAGATCCCTTCCAAACCTATTGGCAGATGGAAACAAGCTTTTGAATATCGATGCATTGCAAAAAAATTCTGAAAAGCATAGTAAATATTCAAGCATGAGAGAAAGAAAACCAATTTCCAAAGAATAGCACGGCTACCTCCGCAAATTAATTAAATTAAATCGGTTGGAACCGGTAATATGTATTCATCAAATCGGTGCTATGCAGAAACAACCTCAATAAAATCCATACAGCTCATACCATTAATTATATAAATCAAGATATTTCTGTCATGATCGGACCACATTGTGTTTTGTAGAAAACGAGTGGGGAGCAGTCAGTGAGTACTGGACATTTAGATTTTATATTTGAATTTTTTACTGCATTATTTCTTTGTATTAGGCAATTACTTCGCTTTATTTTCTTGTATATATATTTGTATCTCCTAATAAAAGTTTAATTACCCAAGTTTGAGGTTCGCAACGAGGAAAGTAAGAAGTATGAACGTTGGCCGCAGAGTTTTACAATACTAATAAAAAATAAAAGTTCTGCTGGCTTTTCCACCCGATTTGCTTTAATTCTTATTTATATCTCTTTTTTCAATATAGTAATGAGAAGGATTTTCAGGTGATGATAAGCGGTCTTATCCGTAATTCAAACTGATACACTGCTGGATTCTTCTTATCTCCTCGAATCTCCAAAAAATCAATTTTTACTCAAAGTTTTCATCATCATTGATGAGCTAAATAAAAAAGAAATGCTTGGCGAACAGCGCCACTAAAACGACGGTTCAATGCGAGTTGAATCTATAGTGACTTCGCTTTGCAAATGAACTAATTGACTGCGAGAGATAAGAATACCATTGCTCTAGAAATTTGCGCTTATCAATTAGATCATTTAATTTCCGAGTTTAGTCTTGCAGGAATCGACTTTTTTATTTAGCCTATTTCGTAGCCGAGGTAGCAACGTGCATAAAGAGATGTAGTAGAGATGATTAAGGTATAGTTTTTCAATTAGAATATACCTGGAACTGGCCAGGTATATCCTTTTAAGTATGTCATATGATATACTTATAGGAATGACAGGAGTTATGAATCATTATTTCCTAGATTTTCCAGCACTTTTCTAGACGCAAAATGCATTTTCTAGTTTTGTAGTTTTTTTTTCATTTTAGACAATAACAATATTTTGTACTCTGCTCACTGCATCGTACAAGAAAACGAAGAACAGGCCTTTCGAAGGAGGATTGCTAACACAAACATTCAAAGCCATGTGCCATATTTTCTGCTTTTATTACTTCATTTAATTGCTTGCATGCAAAGCCATAAATCATAGGAAATATATAAGTCAGTATGTAGACATGTATTATGTATTATTGAAATTTGTATCAAATGTTTCGTCTTTCGTTTCGTTTTTTCAATTTTCTTAGCAGCACTCGTTTTTGTTTTATTTTTATCTTTTTATTATTTTTATGCGATTTTTAGGCGATTTATTTTTATGCCCTAAACTATATAAAAGCTTATTTCTTTGCTTAATATTATCATCTGTTAATTTTTAATATTTATTTGAATAATAATATATTAATAATTATATTATTAATTTTCACATGGCTGTTACATAGGCTATGAAATAGATTGAATAAAATTTTGATTCTTGAAAGAATCTATGAATGTAAATGTTCTAATTGGGATTTGTATTTTTAAGTCGAGATTATAGGTAGAATTGGTGAAAAATAGTAAGTAATAGTTTTAGTTTCTTTTTCTTTTACTACCTGGTTAAATAATCTTCTTTGTGCCTCTCCTGTTCGGAGAGCAATTGGTTCCTCTAGTTTATCCTTTGCCGCTGTTGTTATTCGGGCTTCTTCATTGCCCTCTTCACTTACTTCCAGTGGATAAAATAAGTCGATTGGTCGATTAAAGAGTTTTCCATTTGGAGTTCGCACCATTGCATTTTTTATCCTTCAATCTTTTCCGGTATTGAGTCCTTGGATCTTTACTATCTTCCACATACACCTTAGACATGAGTGGTCAAAGGCTTATAGCTCCCACTCTCATTGGCCATGTTTCGCAGCCATATAGCAAGATCGAAAGAATGGAGCTATAAGGACGCGAATTTTTATCTTTATGGCGATTTCGCGAAGATTCCGGCAATTAATTGATAAAAATAGGCATTTTATCAACATCTTGTATACAAGACGAAAATACTTTCGCTTTACTTGAATTGATTTTGAGTCCAATTCTCGCTGCAATTGTTGGCACATTATTTAATATTATTTGCATTTCCTCATAACTCAGCAAAAAGGACTACATCATCAGCAGATCTATGATGCTATGTTCTGGACTGATTTGCACACCGAAAAGCGATGTCCATTATCCAGTCTATCGTTGAATATTATGGGGAAAGGACGCAGCCCTGACAGACACCAGTTTTTATTTCGAAGGAGTCTGTCAATTCCCCATATACACAGACTTGCACCAGGGTATGCTGATAAAATTCCTCTATGAGCCGAATGATCTTCTCTGGGACATCGTCACATTCCATCACTTTCCAGAGCATTGCTCTATCGAATCGAAAGCAGCTGCAAAATCGATGAAGAAAGTGAGGGTAGGTTGCTGGTATTTGAAGCGATGTTCCAGCATTTTTCTTAACGTAAATATCTGGTCAGCACAACCGCATCCTCAGTCCAGCTTATTTAGGACGCATTCTGCTATCTCGTGTTGCCATAAATCTATTTAGCAGAAACGAGAAGAGAAGAGAAGCGAAAATTTCAGAAGATGTCCAGTAGTCTGACTCTCCAGTAATTGTCGCAGTACGTCCTATCATTTTTCTTAATTTGTTGAAGGTGAGTTATGAACGATGATGGACAACATTTGAACATTTGAAAAGTTGGGCTCGAAGAATATCTCCGGGAGTTTTATTGGCCTTAAGCTTATGGATTATAGAGATTATTTCCTTTTCTGTTGGTGGCTAACAATTGCAAACGTAAAGCTAATGGGCAAATCAGTTATATTTGGGACAATAGATAGTACATCGTGGTTAAGTTTGGTCTCAAAAAATTCTTTCCATTTTGCTCCACCTTGACAGCTTTAATAGGCATCCCATTAATATCCCGTACCATTTAATTAACCCCTTCTTGAGTTATAGTTGCTTTGTGGAGAAAGCGAAACAGTTTCCTATTATCACCTATCCGAGCTACCGACTCCATTCTCAAGGCCATATCGATCCAATAGCGATTTTCGTCCCGTCGTGCTGCTGTCATTGTAATTCTCCGAAGTCACGATCTCCTGATATTCGGGCTTTGGCAACTTTTTCAGATAGCTGCACAGTTGTTTTTCAGATAGTTGCACAGTTGCTTCCGACACCCAACTAGCGCACTTCCTACTAGTATACCCTAGAGTGGAAGTGGCTGATATTTGTAGGCATTTAGTCTTTAGTTGGGATCAGTGTTCGTTCGCCGTTCCAGAGGACATTGATTTCATTGAGGTGTTTCAATAATGCAGTTTGAAATGCGCTTATCGTCCCGGATCTTTTAATTTGAGATAGTGAAAGATCTCGGGATACGTTTTTTCTTACGACTTATCAGTTTTATACGAATCTTGGCTCGAATACAATATGCTCTGGCAGCTATAGCAAACACCTTATTTCGTTCGCGAGCAAATTCTGTTTACGCCTTGGACTTTTATTATTATTAGCGCATCAATGTACATTCATCGCATGTACCACCGCTTGAGAAATAACATTCGCACGTCGCCAAAGAGATCTGACCCTTTCAATATTTGGGGATTAAAATAGAGGTGGGTCCCCACCAGCCAACCGGATTTTTGACATTATGACAGGTTTACGCCTGTCAAAGACAGAGGATAGAGATAAATTAAATTAAATTTAAAAGATGGTTACTTTAGAGATGGAAAGTTTGGAGATGATATAATAAATGAGAAAAAAAATTTTAAGGGGAAAAAAAGAAAAAAAACTTATCTGACTCGTAGATTCGTAGATGATAAATAATAATTAGTAGATCATAAGATAATAATATGATAATATAGCGATAAAAAGAAATATCTTTTTTTTTAAATTTTATTGATTAATGAGCTGAGCGCCTTTTCGACATAACCCCTCATAGAGGTAGAGATTTTAAGGTTATACGATTAATATCTAAATCATGAATCTAATAAATGCCAAGGAAATTATTCTTGATCGCCTTTGCTTTTTCATATTTGGCTATTCCTTCATTAAATCCTTCATCATTAGAGAGATAACGAGAAGTTCACTTACATTCATAACCGTTTCATTGAAGATAATTTTCGTTTCTTCATTTTTCAGAGCTTTTTCAATTCCATTGACCGATAATATTATATTATCCACATAAATATTGTTCTTTATTTCGGAGGCTATCTCTGTCTCTTGCCGTAAGTTTCCCGATGGTAATTAAGTGAGGTCGATAATAAAAAGGGTGATAAGATACTTCCGAGGGGAACTCTTTTAAAACGATAATATTTGATAATATTTTCTTCAATTACATCTTCGTTAGTAACGTGTAACCAAAGAAGTCGAGCAGAATCTCTATCTTCTGGGTATAATTGTATCCGTAAAAATGCCTTTTCAATATCTAAGACTGATAGCAAGACTGGCCTCGGTATAGCACTTCATTCAAACTCTTTTTTTCTTGAAGGTGTGCTGACGCGTCATATATAATACTTAGTTTAGTAGTGTTTTTATCTGGAGTTAGTCCACTATGATGCGGTAAATAAATGTCCACCAATGTCCACCTTTTCATTGGAGTCTGCGTCTTCGATTATATCTAATTTAATAATATAGGTTGAGAATTGATTCCTGTTGCAATCGTTTGACCAGACTGCTTAGACGCCCCAAGCATGTCCAAAATTGTTGCTTAATGTATCCTTTCCATGGCCATCGCAGCTGATATCTATCGTTATATTTTATTATGAGTCTCCTAAATTGTTTCAGTGCTTGGTAATTATCGTCGACCTTAGGTCCTGGGTTTTAGTTTTTCGATTTTATTCAGTTGTACAATTTTGAAGAAATGATCTGCTCCAGTTAAGATGTCGGGTCTTCTCCAATAATTTTTTAAATTCATCGTTTGATTAGCCATCGGTATTTTAATTTGTTGGTCGAATGTTCTATTAAATTAGCGCATATTTCGATTACCTCATCTTCCTTAATTCATACACTGAGTTGCGCCTGAATGGCTCTAAATAATTTAGGGTTTCTAATACCGAAAGCTTAATTCTTCAGTTCATCAGTTCATAAGTTTAGATAATTATGACCCAGTGTTCAAATGGTGCTAATGTTTCTTCCTTTCTTTCTGGTTGTGATTGGTCAAATATAGTTATTAGCTATCTCCAGCAAGGATTCTTTACCTTATTTCTTAATTACTGCATTCGTTTGAGTTATCGTTGTCAGATTATAATTAGTTGAATAATCCTCCAATTTAATGTTCTTTGTTTGTTTGATTCTTGTTAAGGCATAACCTTTCGTTCTCATGTGGTCAACTTCTTTTTTCGCATAGGGCACTACTATGAGAAGCTTTGCAATAGAAATATTTTACCTTTCTTTTACATTCGTTGCCTTGATGTACCTTCAAACAAATAGTATGTACATTTTTTCATCTCCTCCTTAAGACGCTTCAATCGAGTATTTGCTGTAGGATATACTTGACATTCCCAATGATTTTGATTACAAAACGGTCTTCTTTGTCTGATTTCGCTTTTGATTGCTGTAGGATAAGGAATTTTTTTTTCGTTGTGGATAATTGCTAATGTTGATTTTTCATTGTAGCCTATCCAATTAAAAATACCGAATTATTTATCGAAACATTAAAATATATAAAATATTTGAAGTATAATAAAAAATTTCAAAAGAACCTTCACCATAATATAATAATATAAACACCATAAAGTCGTAATGTTTGGAAGTCCTTGTGGCTCCATCCACAAGAGCAAAAAATTAATGATTTGCTTTGATCTGCTAACTTGTTTTTAACAATGCTTAGGTGTAGAGTATGAAATGGCTTTGTCGAATATTCGACGGTCACCATAATATTAGGCTTTCGACTATATTTGAACGTAGCAGATTGAAAAAACTTGATAGCACATAATCGAAATTGCCTTTCTTCAAGCTGTCCATGGAAAATTTTGTATTGATTTTCACGGACACATATATGTGCGATATTGCCCGTCATGCCTTCCAGAATGAAAAAAATCATAGTAAATTCTAAGACTTTTTTGTGTACCTTCTCCGTTCGCGTGGATCCGTTGATCTGTGGCAATGAAATAGTATTATATGCTGAATTTCCAACCAATACAGAATCGTCACTGACAGCCAATTTTGATAGTGTCTACATAATTCAACAATCTATCAGAAGAGTGATTTAGAATAGCGTTATGTTAAATTAATATTATTATATTATATTAATAATGAATATATATATTAATAAATATGGTTGGTACTTGGCCAATCTACCTTTAGGCTATTTCAGATTTAGAATATAAGTGAGTGTTTATTCCACCTAAAGGAACGATGAAATTGCAAACTCAGGTAAAGTGAAAAATTATCCAATTGCTACAATGACTGCTGCAAAAGCTTTTTCTGTGCTGGAATAAATGATTGAAATTATAAGAATTAATGTGAAATTGCTTGTTGTCAATTTTTCTTGGAATCTCGCTAGCTCGCCACATCCAAAATTACTCACATCACAAATCAACGCAAAAGCAAGTCGAGAAGCCGAGAGCTTGTCGAAGGTTTCCTATCATTCTTTGAACCATTCAAAAGATATGACCTTATTTTTAAGATTTTCTTTTTTCAAGAACCTTCGCTATTACTGCTTATGATTCGCTATGACTCGCTTCACTGGCTTATCGCACTGAAAAAAACATATTAGGGATTCTTTAAATAGAATTATAGGTGAGTTCTCAACACCATCCGGATTTCTGGATTGGACTTCTGCAGTGGGCAGAACCTCAACATCGTTACTCCTGTTGCGCCATAATATTCTCTGAGTAACCCAATGAGCTATTTTATTCTTTTTTACTTCCATCGTTTCGATACATTACAGCTCGATGAAACATGGTGACTTGGTCGAATTCGAGATCGAGTTATTCTCAATCCTCTGTGGTAATCATCTCGCCACTAAGCTAGTGCTTCAATATTCGATATAATAATATAATAAGTGAATATGGTGTTAGTATCTATGCTGTAAAGTCTGAACAATAAGTGAAAAAATAATTCAATAAAATATTTTAAAATAAAATAACAATATTCTGATATAATATAATAAAATTTAAATCGAAATAACAATATTCTGATATAATATAATAAAATTTAAATCGAAATAAAATTTTTTTGATTTAAATTTCTGTTTTATATTTGTAATCTGCGAAAATAGTTCCTGTCCTGCGTTTAAAATCGCAACTTCATAATTTACCTTCATATTTTATCACAAATGAAAATATTTAGCATTAAAGAGATGAATATATACCTAACAAAATGAATATTTTTTAAAAGTGGAAATATTTTAAGAGGTTGATAAATAAATACTTGCAGATATTTGTTGCTATATCATGCTATATCATCAAACAGTTAATAAAGAGAATGCTTGAATTTTCGAGGTGAAGAAAAACCTTCCATACCTTCCATCATTCTTACAGACCCAATCATAAGATTCAAGATTTATGCAATTATTTTTTTGCCCTCATGGTCAAAACTCGCTCAAATTGTTTGTTTTGTTTGTTTTATATGGCTGATTAACCAATAAGACAAATGTTGTCAATCAAATAGATCATTCATTTAGTCAATCATTTATAAGGATCCTGTGCACTACTAAAATTGCAAATTTTATCAAATTTTACCTAACGTCTAAATAAAACAAGGAATTTTGGAATATATTAGTGGATTTTAAGTAATCTATTAATTTGCCAACCATTTTTCAAAAAAAAATAATATCAGGATTTCAGTTTCAACCTACAATTTCAGCAAATGGCATGATAATAGCAATGATGATAATAGCAATGATCTATTTTCTACATTTTGTTCCGATTTTTTTTTGATCTATTTTCTATTTTTTTTTCTATTCCCATTTTTTTTTTGTTTCTCATTTCCAAAAGAAAAAATAAAGAAAAAAGTAAAATGTTATCAGCGTTTTTTTATTTTTTCATTTTTGTTTGATTGTAATTTTCCATCTTCATGCAGCCATTTTTTGTTCCAAATCGAATGAATAGATAAGCATCACAGAACTCTCTGAAAACATAAACATAAAATTAACTTATAAAAATTCATGTAGAAAATTCTTTAAAACCTTATCAGAATTATTCGTAGCAAAGCAATATTTTGGTGCAGTGCTAGTAATGATGCGTCCTTATACTTCACTTTTAACATTATTTCTTATCTTCATAAGTAAGTTATCAATTACTTTAATATCATTTCCATGATTTTTCATTTATTCTTACATAATAAACCACATAGTTGATAATGATCTATAAATTTTTATGTGTAAGAGCAATCAACATTAGTGTCTAGATAAGATAAGTAAATCTGCTGCTTGCTAAATAAATAAATTCTAAAATCGCCAATAAGAATTTTTGGCGATAAAAATACAGATTAGTACCATTGTCTGGATTTTTAAATGAGTTTTCTCTTGCTGGTAATAGAATTTCGGACACTCCAAATTGAGCAACAACGCAATGAGCCGTTCTATTCTATTTTTTGTTTTTCTCCATTAGACGATAGTGCGCAGCGAAAAGTGGTGCATCGGCGATTGCCAATCCACGTTTCGATTCTTGGCAAATTATTATGCTGCTAAGCCACCGACTTACCAGCAAGTATATCAATGATAGGTTCTATGCTGTTTGCAGTACTAATTCTCTTTCCGACATGAAACCAGCGAAAGTGAAAGTGCATTAGCCCTTTTGTGTGGTGCGGATGACATCTCAAAGTTGTAGTTATTTGCTGGTTCCAATAATTTGATCTCTTTCAATTTTAAAAGATATCTTTAATAGTTTTAAAAAATAATAATTCTTTTATGAAGTACAAAATATTGCGCATAAATTCAAGAAAATTTTTCAACCACCTTTCGTCAATGACATTCTTAAATTCTTGAACAATTTTCCAAATCTTGGTGCAATGTTTGAAAAAATCTTGGCCTTCGTTATAAAATCGTATCGTAAAAAAATCGCAAAAAACGTCTCGAGAATAGTGAATTTATATTTCGACCTTTTGAAAATAGAAAATGTAAATGATCCGGTCTATGTTCTTCCAGTGGAACTTTCTTTATAGAAATGAAAAAATGAAGCAAAAAAATTTAAAAAAGTATATTGAAGAAGTATATTAATATTAAAAGTAAAATCTATTTCAGGTATAAATGTTTCATTTTCGTCAGGTAAAATCATTTCAATCGCTTTTATTTATTTCATTTGCAAGTTTGTTTGGAAATTTTTATTTAAAATTAAAAATAAAATTAAAATTAAAATAAAAAATTTAAAATATTTTAATTTTTTAGATATGTTTGAAAAGTCTTGCATTTGTCCTTTATTTCATTTTTTACTTATTGCTTATCACTAAAAACTTTTTTCAATTCAAATTCGTTTCAGGTGATCCTTTTGCGTTAACATTTTTTCTTTTCTTTCTTTCTGTAGATTCACAGGATTTATTTAATTATTTCGAATTCAGTATTCGATTTCAACAATATGGTTATGTGTAGCTTTTCTTCCACTCTCTATTCTTTTGTTCCTTATGGTTGCTACTGCGGTTTTGGAGGCTATGGTACACCGATGGATGAAGTTGATAAGTAAGACCAAATATTTAGTAATATTATATTTAAAAAGCCTTAACAAGGTATAAATAAATTTAAGACGATGTGACTGTTGCAAATTCCATTAGCAATTGAGGCAAAGAACTGCAATATAAGGTGTAGTTTTCATAATAAAAATCCATTTAATAGAGATCATTAATGAATAGTTTTGAGGCTGAAGGTTCATTCAAAAAAGTGGGTGAATATGCTCATAATAAGTTTATCCGCCATAACCCCAAATATTGTACGAATACGAATTTGTATTTAAGGTGTTGCCAAACTCATGACAATTGTTATGGAGATGCTCTTGCTAAATGTTACAACATAACCTCTCTTCTGTATTTGTGGCCTTATTCCTGGTCTTGTCCAAAAACAGCTGAAGGAGCAGTTCAAACTAAAACTGGCAATTCTCCCAGATGCAAAAATACGCTTTGTAAGCATTACTATTACAGAAATATAATAAACTATATACTATTACTATGTATAATATACTATTACAGAAATATAAAGTAATTATATATTAAATGATAGTTAGTTCCAATGCTAATTTGCTTCTTTTCCACGAAGTAACGAAAATTGTTTCTGCAAACTTCACAACTTCACACCTTTCTTAATTCTAAAATATGAATTTAGTTGATAATATATATTCTAGACCACCCAATAAAAACAAAAAGAATCGGAAAATGCAATTTCAGGGAATCCATGCGGCCAGGCGTTATGTGAATGTGACCAGAAAATTGTTGAATGTTGGGCCAATGTTTCCACAACGCCACCAAGCGAAAGACTAAAATGCAATGAAATGGAAACGACTACAGTTTTACCTAACATGCCTTCAACACTCTTGTAAAATTAAAATTATTAAAATTATTTCGTCGAAATATAAAATAAAAATTTATTTGGATCACCAATAAAAATCAACGATTCAACGATTTGTGGACAATTAAATAAAATGAAATTATTTTCATGTGAATTTTATTCGATATTAGTGTACTTTATTCCATTATACAATTAACTACGAAAAAAACACAAAAAACTGATTCCAAATGCTTAGGATCTACTCATACTTTCATTTCCATCGACTCACTGATGAAGCCCCTTCCAATAGATAGTAATGCCAGTCAAATCAGCCATAGTAAATGCTTAACGATAAATGTTAGAAGGGTACTTACAAAAAACCAATAAAAGCACTGCTGAAAGTGCTATCCTTGAATTAAATTTCCCAGGCCAGTTTCATAATTAAATCTTCAGCTATTCTGAATTCAAATCAATTTAACAGCTATATGTTAATGCTATTGTTGGTTTGGCTTGCTCCGCTTGCTCGTCGGAATTTGCCGATAGAAATAAAAGAGAATTCCAGAATTGTGCGACTTTGTAAGATATATTTCCTCCTGTCTGGTGTAAACCTTAGCTCTGGTACTCCGAGCTGAGCAACAATGCACTGACTTTTTTTATTCTCTTCTAGTTTCATCGTTTGGCAACAAATCAAAACAACATCGTTTCGCTTGATAATAATTGATACAAGAGCCAAGAAACATCCTTAAAACAATGATCTAGTCATTATGATTCATTTAAGCCATAATCCTCTTCTGCTCTTCAAAAATCACTCAAAAATCAATCACTTTTTTTATGTTTGGCTGACAGCATTGATTAACAGAATATCTTTAAAGGTTATCTATCATACAGATGTACCCACATGAGTCGTACTTTTTGCAAAGTTCGAAGAAAATTATTATCAATAATAGCGCCTAAATTAAATATGGTCATTGGTGCTTTATTAATTTGCCATTTTTTTATTAAAAATTTTTCAAATTATTTTGTGCTGAATTTTATAGCAAATGAATGTTTGAAATAAAATATCTAAATTTCAATTTCATGCTAAAACTTCAGCAAATGATAAACTGATAAACTAATAATACAAACAGTAATGATCTAATTTTCTTTCGATTTAATTTCTTTTTTCAATGACTCGTTTTCTCTTTTATTTTTGTTTTTCAAATTTCATAGGAAAAAGGCAAAATAGTATCAATTGCATTTTTTTAGCGTTTTTTCATTTCTGCTTGTTTTCAAATTTCCATTTTCATATAATCATTTTTTTTCCATATTAAATGTATAGAAATATATAAGACATACCTCAAAAAATAAATATCTAACATAGAAAATCAGCAGTTCGACTTCGCTAGAGATCATCTGTTTTCCAAAGCAATTTTTTACTACAGTTCTATTAACATTTTCTCTTTATAATCCACTGTTAACACCATTCTCTTGATAAGTATGTTATCAAGCTTTTAAGTATCATTTTCATGAATTTTCATTTTTTCTTATATAATAAATTATATTGTATAAATTATATAATAAATTATATTGTTAATTTTTTTTTGAAAGCATTCACCTTTGCTGGCTAAGTTCACGTAGCTAGCTTATCTAACTAGACAAACATATCGGAAAGCTCCATGACAACAGAAGATGAGTTGCAAGCATTTTACGGATTTTTGGACATGTTCAATATTGCCGGAGTTGAACTTCAGTTTCGATGCTTCAAATTGAGCAACAACGCACTGAGCCAATCCGCTCTCCTTCTGCTTCTCGTGGTTTTAGAATACTTCGATGAAAAGTGGTGCGCCAGCGGATTTATTAAATTTTTTCTTTTCGGCGACAATTATCTTGAGCCACAGAAGTACGAGCCAATAAATATAGTTAAATAAGCAGATTGTAAGCTATGGCAGACTGCTTCAATAGTTGCTGCTTCTCTGTGTGCAGCTCTCTTTTCGATGTCTAACCAGCCAAGTGAATGTTGCACTGGCACTTTGTTTGTTTAATGTGTATGGTATCACTAAAATTGCATTGATCTCTAAATGGTGCAAAATCTACTTCTGCTTATGCATTTCAATATTCTGATCCCATTAATTCTTGAAAGATTTGCTTAATAGGGCCAAACAGTTCTTCTCGCATAAAATGCGATATATTGCATCTAAATTAGAGAAAATTCTTCCACCACTTTTTATCAATGACATTCTTTAGTGTTTAATAAATATACCAAATCTTTGAGGCAAAATTTGCAAAAATTTTGATCTTCATGGTACCATGAATAAGGCATGCAGTATTATATGTTTTATGCTTAGATTATTTGAAAACCTTAAGAAAACCTTCCTTATTGAAATGCATTTTTTCATTAAATCGAACAGTTTATTCTAAAATAAAAACTTACAAAGAACAGAAATATTTTTCACATCCTCGCAACCCATTTAACTAAAACGAATAAATTGAAATTATATAAATTAGAATTTAAAAATAATTAAATGGATATTGATAATTGATAAAATACTTATGAAATTTTACATTAAACTGGATTGTTCACTGTAGTATTTAAAAGTCTAATGCTGCTCTTATAAGTGAAAAAGAAAGAAGAGAATGGAATTCGTGCATTTATCCGCATTACCGACTTTGGTTGAGAATCTCTTGTAAAATAAATTTTTGAGCGCAAAACCAACCATTCTAATGAGATCATTTCTAAGAAAAGATCCGAAGGAGTAGATAATATTGCCATCAGCGATGTCAATATAATTTTTGAATAGCAACGTTATTCAAATATTATTGAATTTGATAATGATCGAATATTTCGAGAAGACTTCCTTAATACTACTGTTGAATCTTTTTAAATTATATTGCCCACTATTTCTGATTAATTTCACTAGCTTTTCACTAGCTGTAAGGCAAATTTTCTCGAAATAGCATTTGGTAATAGGATTGTAGGTGAACCACGTGCATTAGCCGGTTCTTCAAATAATATATTTACTCCAGTTTGAAGTGAATTTCTACCATCGATATTTCCCATTAAGCGACTCTCCAATTAAAATTCAGCTTATCAGAATTAGTAAAAATAGCGAAATCGGATGATAATTTAAGTTCATATGGAATATGTTTGATAAAGGAACGAGCTAATATGAAAATTGTGTTGTGATTCGCTGAATTGTAAGCAGTATGGAAAATAATTCTTCAGAATACAGTAAACGAATAAAAATAAACTTAAAAAAGAGATCAAAATGCTCTGCAAAAAATATTGCCATAATTTACATTTGATGTTTGCAAGATTGCTTTTTTGTGATTGTTCAGCTGAAATGAATAAAAGCGGGAAATAACTAGAATGAAAATACATAATTGAATTATTTCTGTAATAATTACATTTCTGCAACAAAAAATTGGCTGAGCGACCGATTTTTCCAGAGTGTTTTTTTGCCAGTGGAAAAATATTCAGCGATTTATGAAATAACAATTAATAAAAAGCATTATGAATAATAATTATTAAAAAAATAAATGTTTATCATTTAAAATTATTCTTGCTTTATTCGATATTCGACGGTTCCATTATTATATTATCTTGCTACAAATAGAAAATGTAATGATTTTTGACGGTGCTTAAGGTCCTAATTGCATTTCCGATAACTGTCTGGTGAGAGAATTGAACCAACGGAGATATCCAAAAATAATGAATGGCTATTATTAGGTGATTTTCACTTATTAAAGGGAAGATCATTAGTATTCACAAAGTTAGCCAGCCTTATTACACAACAGTTATTTGATAAAAAAGCTATTTGATTCAAATAATTCAATTCAATAATTCAAATAAAAATGATCCAGAATTCAAAAAAATTAATAACTAGACATGTGAAATTCACAAAAGTGAATGCTTGAGCTCTGATTCTAAAGAATAAAAGGCGATTTAATCAAAACCACAAAATGATGAGAGTCATTTCCTTATAATTTGCATTCCTCCGATGCTATTTTTTAAAATTTTTTCTATTATTGGCAATATATTTCATGATGAAGCACATTGCCAAAATAATAACAAAGCTTATGACAAAGTTCCAGCTTCGTAATTTCCCATCATAATTGATCATAAGCGCAAATTTAATATTTTTGATAAATGCACAGATATTTGTCGATATAGAATACACAAAATGAACAGATTTGTCATTTGTTATTTGAATGGTGAAGGATGAACGAGAAATTTGGAATTGTAGCACGGTGATTTTCGGAGGTCACTCGACTTTCATCACTTGACATCTTCATAATTATTCTGCAAGTTAAATGAATTTCAAACCTTGAGAACCTTGAGAACCACATCGTCCACCTCACCTAACGAAAACAGAGAATGGAGTGGGTCAGTGGGTTATTACTTAATATCAGAAACTGAGTTTTACTCTCGGCAGAGAAGTATATCTGCTCTTCAAAATTCCGCGTGATGCTGGCGACTTACTAATATTTCTATCGCTAGCGATTTTCCTGGCCTATGCATTCACTGCAAACAGAAAGCGGATAATCGGCAATGAAAATATTATTAAAAATATTATATTATATTATAATATTTCGATAATAAAATATCGAAAATATTTAAAAAAATATCATCGAAAATTTTTTTATAAATGCTATGGTAATAGCTGCGAAATAATATCCTTTCTTTCCATTTTCCAATTCACCTTTCCTTCTTAATTTCTAGAGAATTTTTATTTAATTTCTAGAAAATAAAAGAATTTTTTTATTTTTCATTTTCGTAATAAAAACCCTTAAATTTTCAAAATTTTTTTCTACATTTCTTTCGTTTTTGCACGTTTTGAAAATTTTTATTTGCAACCAATTTTTTTTACATCGAAGAGAAAATGCCACCAAACTATAATAAAAAAAAACATATATAAGTATATGAATAATAAAATATGAAATTTTGAGTAAAAAACTTTTGAAAAAAACTTTTGAAACTTTTGAAACTTTTAAAACTTATACTTTGATAAGTATAGACTGAAATTAATTTCAGGTGTGGCTGTTTCTTTTGAAAAGTACGCCAAAAATCGTTCACAAATTAACCAAACCATCATAGGTGCAATGCATAAAGAATGCGATGTTACGGTTCAATTTTTGTTCTTCTCTTGAAAAGTAAATTAAAGGCTTCTATATAAGAATAGAATTGCATCGAGAGGCTTGAAAATATCTCAGCTTTGCAACTGACGAAGCTAACATAACCAGCGGGAAATAAAGGAAAAAATAAAAGAAAAAAAAACATCATCTAGCAATGACATTTTTGTTATTGTATGGTGTTCAAATGAATGGCTACATACACCGATTGGCCTTTCAAACCAATATAAAAATAAGCATCGCTAAAGTAATAGCAAAGGAGGAAGCTCAGCTGGATATGCTAGACAGGTAAATTATAAGGAAATTATAGAATGGATATTGAAAAATACTTTGATAAGTATAGACTGAAATTAATTTCAGGTGTGGCTGTTTCTTTTTCATCAAGTATTCCTCTTCATATGCTTATTTTCATTTCCAAGTTCCAGTGTGAAAATTTTTAATTATTCTTAAAAAAATTTTTAAAGCGGTTTAAAGCGGTCGCTCATTTTCTCATTTACCACAATATTTTCTGCTTATAAAAAAATTGATTCATAATTCTTTAAAAAATTGAAATTTAAAAAAATAATAAATATATTTTATTCTTAAAAGAATATTCTAAAATTGCACATATCTATTTCATTTTATCAGCTTGTTGCTTATCACAAAGGCTCTTATACAAATTGTTTTAGAAATTCTTTTGTAAAATAATATTAACAAAAGTTACTGAAAAAATGAAACGGAATAATTTTCTGGGTGAATTAAGCTATTTTTCATTGACATTCATAGCAACATTTTTTCAATTTCATTTTGGTAATAAGCTTTGCTTCATTAGTATTAGTATTAAAAATAAAGTATAATGTAACGTCTCGAATTTAGTCATCGATTTCAACGTTATGGTTATATGTGCTTTTCGAAGCACTGTCTATCCTTTTATTCTCTATGGTTGTTACTGTTGGTTTGGAGGTGGAAATGCACCAATGGACACAATTGATAAGTTCGTTATCAAATTATCAAATATTATAGTTTTATAATCGAGGATGTATTTCTTTCTAAGATTCCTCATCATCACTGGTTCAACTCGCTCTATTGGCTTGTCACATTGAGTAATATGCCAAAGAGCCTCTTAGCAATAGGAATACAACTGAGTCGCCAGCATCATCCGGATTTTAGTGGAGGTTTACTCCTGCGGGGAATCGAACCTCAGCGCTCCCCATCGATCAACACCCACAGAGCCGTTCTATTCGAGGATGTATTAACGAAATAGAAATTGAAAGCAATAATTGCTGCAAATTTTATCGTAGCAATAAGCAATATTAGCTTATCTACTTTAATTTATGATGAGAACAACAAAGAGAATTGCAATCAAGATTTTTTTTTTCAGATTATGACGATAATAGATATGCATACAATATGCATGCATATATTTTATGAATAACATTGCTTAAGGTGTGGTCAGATTCATGATGAATGCTACAAGGAAGCTTTTTCTAAATGCTACAATATAACAGGCCTCCTATATTTCTGGCCTTATTTCTGGTCCTGTCCAAATATAACTGAAGGTCAACAAACAACTAAAACGGGTAAAAGACCCAAATGTGGAGATAACTCTGGTTAGCATTATAATATGAATTTTTTTTTGTTGACTAGAAAATATATCATGTATCAAAGATCTTTTTCTTCTATAAAATATAGGAAACTATCGGCGAAATTTTGCACCTCTAAATTTTAAATTTAGTTAACCATGCAAATTTCTCTTAATTATTTTTTATTGAAAACTGAAGGATTTAATTGAAAATGAATAGCGTAACTGCAAAGAATCCATGTGGCGAAGCATTGTGTGAATGCAAAAAATTGTTGAATGGTGGGCCAACGTCTCGATAGATCCACCAGAGACTTGAATGTATTCCAGAAACAACCGCAACTAAAGCGACGAGAGTCTCCCATCTGTCAAATGGTAGAGTGCGAAAAAGAAAATAAAAATATACAGGAAAATTATAAATAAAACCGGAATTAGTATAATAAGGAATGAGTAATTAATTGAAAAATATCATTTATCCACTTATTTTTTCTTAGAATTTGGCTTTTCCAAAAACAGTGTTTTTAAAAAATTTTTCCTCCAATTTTGATAAAATTTTTTCTTCAACCCAAATCTACTTACTGTTTAATAATTCTTTTCATCAATTCGTGTTTAAAAAAAATGCAGGTTTGGTGCTTCGACTATTGCTAAAAAAAATCCTTCATTGAAAAATTATATTATATTTAATTTAATTATATAAAAATTATATTTTCAGGGACTTTTTTTTTTTTAGAAATTTTTAGATATTATAAATGAAAGTAAATTAGCTTATTATACTATCATTTATAGTTTTAAACCGTTGTTATGAGTATTTTTAGGATTTTTAGACATATAATTTGTTTCAGCGACACTTATACCGTGTTTTGAAGAATGGGAATGTGTTTCGATTGGGAAAAGGCTCTTGATGCTATAAATGCATTTAGGAAAGAACTTGTGAATAGGAGAGTTCGATCCGAGAACGCGAATTTTTCAAAGGGTAGAGAGATGTATAAAATGGTTAATTTTAAAATTATCTTACATAGTTCATTTATGCTTTCGAAAAACAACCAAGCAAGATGAATGCCATTTTCTTTCATCAGAATAATATTTTCGAAAGTCTTAAGAAAAAGAAGAGGCAGTAAGAAATAAAGTTTTAAAAAATTAAATTTATATTAAATTTTTCAGTTAATAAAAATGAACAAAATAATATCGCGAACAATCTAATTATATAGGTGCAATGTAAGATGATCGATTAGGTTATTGGCCATTAACGAAAATTAAGCGGAAGGTTTTTGGCTTAGTTGAATGACTTTTTGTACGAAATACGTGAGTACCCTGGCTGAAGGCATTCGATTTTTTAGAGATGGAATTGTTCATTAGAGAAAATGGCTCGTAAAAAAGTTTCTGAATGCAAATTTGGTTCAGAATATAACGATGACATTGGAGAAACTATTCACACTTCACTTGAGCCTGCAAGTGAATTTTTTGGGCAAAAATTTTCAAAAAATTTTCAGAAAAATAAGAAAGGATTATGAGTGAAATCTGCATAGCATTCTCAAACATTAATTAATTCTCAAAGGCGTAAGGAGATAGGTGAAATGAAATATAATTAACGATATATAACGATATATGAATATACAAAATTATAAATGATAAATGTTCATAATGAAAATTTTAAATTTCCTCATTTTATCTATTTTCAGTTTCAAATAAACCCCTTGAGGATGCATTAAAAAATTGGTTAAAAAGTGTAGAGAACTACGATGGCGACAGCCTGTCAGTTTGCGAATTTACAAATTCATTTTATGATTTTGCACAGGTTCGATTTTTGCGCGTTTTTGCTTGCATTCATGAATAGATTATCAATGGCATAACTTTTCCACATTAAGATTTTCAGCAATATGGCAGCATTTTAGATTGCATCAGGATCAACTACAAATATAGGTTGTGCTACAAGTATTTGCATATTTCAGCAGGATTATGAGGTTGATGACGTAGTGAAAGAAAGAAAAGTTCAATTCACCGTTCGTAAATTCTGGCCGAAGCAATTTTTCTTCCTTCAGGTTATTTTTCTTATTTTCTTATTGTTTATTACTTTTTCGCATCTTCGATTATTTCACGAAGAATTTTGCAGTGGAGAATCATTCAAAAATTATACCTAAAGGAAAAGCGATTTCATAGAGGTTGGCAATTAATTTTGTAATATTGAAAAGAATATTTAAATTTAAAAGAGTTATTCAATTGCGGAAATGCATATATTCCATGAAATGCATATATTCGAATTATATAAAATTCAATCTATCCTAATTCTCAATTTATTTCAATTTTTCTCAAGAATTTCGATTTCATGGAAATATTTTTCTTTTTTCTTAATATTCTTTCGTGTTTATCAAAATTATTCATGTGAATTGACAAATATATTTTGCGGAATACTTCAATAATTAGTTGTTTAAATAGTTTCCGTCATGCGGAATACTTCAATAATTAGTTGTTTAAATAGTTTCCGTCACAGACAAGCAATGTATTAGAGAGAAGGAGTATCGTGAAAAGATTCTCGATGCTATGAACACATTTAGGAAGGAACTTGTAAATGGAAGAATTCAGCCCAAAAACGCCAGTTTTTCAAAGGGCAGAGAGATGAACGAAATGGTTAATTTTAAAATTATCTTGGATACTTTATTCATGCTTTCAATAAACAACCAAATAAGTTTGATTAAATAATTTTTATTTTTAGTAAAAAGAAATAAAAGATCAACTAAAATACTTGTAATTTAAAAAAGGTTCATTAAAAGATGGAATAATGAAATAATGAAAAGAAAAAAATAGCAATGAACTATGTACTAAAATAAGCGTAGGAAATTATTTAAAATGAGCTAAATTTTGTAAATAATCTATTTAAATAGAAATAGAAGAATGCAGGATGATTCCTCAGGTTATTGTCAATTGAAAGTTTAGCGAAAAGTTTTTGATTTATTTATGATAATTCACATTATTGTACGAAACATAAACTAAATGCATGTTCTCTAAAATTTTTAGAGATGGAACTGTTCTTTAGAAGAAATGGCTTGGAAAAAAGTTTCTAAATGTAGCTATGGTTCATCAGACGATGAAGAAGATGAAGTCGGAGAAGCTATCTACATTCTATTTCGACCTTCAGGCGGCGATTTTAAACGTAACTTTCGAAAAAGATTGATGAGAAATCAGAAAAGAAAGGAAATAATGCAATGGAAAAGATGAATGGAATCTGCTCAGAGATTTTTTATAGACATTAGCGATAAAAATAATGAAATGTGAAATAATGATAAATGACAAATAATGATGATAAATAAATGATAAATGATAAATTCTTAAATTCTTAGTTTATATTTATTTATAGCCTTAGATGAACCTGTAAAGGAAGCACTAAAAGATTGGGTAAAAAGAGTACAAAACGGCTTCGAGGATAATAATGTGTCAATCTGTGAATTTCTCGATATATATGACACATTCATACAGGTTCGAAGCTATTATTTTGGATAGATGCGACTGATATAAATTTACCATATTGCGATTCTCAACACCGCGATATTTTGGATTGCATCTGGATTAACTATAGTTATTGGCTTTACAACGAATCCTTTGTGCAGTTTTACGGATAACAATAGTGATTATGATGATTATGATAGTGATAATGTTAAAAGAAAAAGATTAAAGGACAAAGACATATCCAGCATACCATTTGCAAATTCTGGTCGGAGTAATACTTTTCTTCCTTCAGATTATTTTTTTATTATTATTTTATTGTATTTTTTTGCATTTTCGAGGTTGGTAAATGTGCCAAACACGGTTCATTTAGTAATAACGATAAACTCTGTGAATTCGATTATCCTGGGTATTATACATAATGTTGTGACGGGAAATGAAATAAAAATTCAGTGAAATCCAATTCTTGTATTGCACTACTTTTTGAATTTTGATGAATCTACGGAATCAAATAATAAATTCGATGATTTTCCTGCATAGCGCTTTAAATAAGTGAAATAATTATGCATATAACATGTTTAAATAGAAATAAAAGAAAAGATCCTTTAGGTTGGTACCAATTAATAAAATTTTTTGTTGATTTATGATGATTGACATTATTGTATGAAATACAAATTAAATGTATGTTCAATCAAATTTTTAGAGATGGAACTGCACTTTAGAAAAAATGGCTAAAATTTAAAAAATTTTTCTAAATTTAAATTTCTAAATGCAGCAATGGTTCATCAGAAGAGAAAGACGTCGAAGAAGCTATCCACGTACCTTCAGGCGGCGATTTTAGACGTAACTTCCGAAAAAAGATTGTAGAAAAATCAGAAAAGAAATGAATTGATGAAAGGAAATAATAAAAAGATGAATAAAATCTGCTGAGATTTTTTATAGACATTAACGATAAAAATAATGGAATGCGAAATAATTATAAATGATTAATGCTTATTTCATTGAAATTCTTAATTCTGCATTTATTTACAGCCTTGGATGAATCTGTAAAGGAAATACTAAAAGATTGGGTAAAAAGAATAGAAAACGGCTTCGAGGATAATAAGTCTGTCAATCTGCGAATTTCTCGATGAATTTGTCGAATTTGTACATTCTTAAACTTCTCTTTTGGATAGACTGCGACTGATATAAATTTACCATAATGCGATTCTCAGCAATGCGATATTTAAGGTTGCATCAAGATTAACTGCAGATATAGGTTATGCTACAAATATTGCATCCATATATAAAAAGGACTATGAGGATGATGGCATAGCAAAAATAAGAGAAAGTTCAGTATATTGTTTGCAAGTTCTGGCCGAGATAATATTCTTCTTCATTCAGATTATTTTTCTTATTGTTTATTATTTTTTCGCATCTTCGAACATTCATGAAGAATTTTTCAGTGGTGAATCCTTTAAGAAATTATACGTAAAAGGAAAACGATGAGTTCATATTGGCGATGTGTTCTTCGCAATTCAATCTGTAACATTGATAAACTTTGTGTTATAACTAAATAACTGAAGATTGAAATATTTCTCATTGTAAAGAAATGAAATGCATAGCTTCAACAAAATTCAATTTCATGAACTTCATGAATCGTTGCAATCGAATTTTTTGTTAGAGCAGATGAAGATTCAAATGAATTTTTTTTCGTGATAAGCATATAAAATCGAGACACATTGAATAAAGACAAACCTAAAATAATGAAAAAGTCAGAGATCGAAATCGAACAACGATTTCTCAATCACTATTTCATTTACATGAGAGATAGAATGGCTCGGTGGATTGTTTTCCATTTAGGAGCGACAAGCTGAGATTCGATTCCCCTCTGAAGTAAAAACCTGCACAAAAATCCAGATTCACCTGCACTTCTATCGCCAAAAGGACTCTCTGGTTATATTGCTCAATGCGACAAGCCAGTGGAGCGACTTTAACCGGTAATGGTGAGGACTTATAAAAAAAAATTTCATTTACATAAAAAATTGCAAACTATTTTCATGGACAACTAATCTTAATTAATCAGACGAATCGCCAGAGGCCATGCTAATAATTCGTGCAATAGCCTTGTCAAGAAATGAACCTCGCTTAAATATAAAATATTTGCAAGTTTCACTTCACTAACAGTGTTTCTATTAATGCTAGGAGAAATTCCTGAACAAATATCTATTCCATCTTCTATAACCACAAATATGGCAGTTTTTGCTGATTTTTTTCATCTTCATTTTTTTTCCTCTTACCATCTTTCTATTGCCCTTCATTTGTGCTTGAGTTCTCAGTGGTGTTGAATTTGAACCAATTCTTTATCTAGGACCATAATTTCTATAAAAAGTGCTAATTAACAGCAAATAGTGATTTACTTCTTTTATGAGAAATTCTATATACTGTTTGCAAATTCTGGCCAAAATGAGAAATTTCTCATATTTTTATTTTACATACTTTCTTGTTGGTTACTTGCTATTCGGTTTTTGCTTCGAGATATCCCTGAAATTTGAATAAGAAACTTTTCAGTACAAAAAATTTCGCTAAATTATGCGAAGAAGGAGAATAATCGGTTAATCGGTTAATAAAAATCGGTTAGTCGTGCGTTATTCTTAATTCAGTTTGCAATAAACTTTTGTATTATAACTGAACAAATTTGAAGCAAAATTTGAATATATATTAAATTGTGCAAACGAAATGCATTGAATAAAATTGAACGCTTGCATGATCATTAAATTCCATCAAGAAATTTCTCAATTTCTCAAAAAAATGATTTCTCAAGGAATTTTTATTAATTTATTAATAAAATAATAAATATAAACCTAAGGCAGCTATCCAGATTTAACAAGGTTTACCTTAAATGTTACATTTAAGATTGGTTATCTTTGTTATTGGTTATATGAAGAAGGTCAATTAACCATCAGAGGTCAATTAATGGCACAATAATTTATAAGAAAATATTTTCAAGAAACATTATTTGCCTATGCATTCAATTTTATATTTGCGAATTTTTCGCTCCACTTATGGTATTTCTACTATTTCTATAGAAAGAAAGTTGTGTCGTCAAGATTGCATTTTTTCTCCTATATTATTCAACTGTGCAACAGAATAATAATGCATAACAGAATAACGCCATTTATTAGTACTCAAAAAGTATACGAAGCTGATAAAATTCCTCCTTTTATAAATTCATCGCCGATTGAGAAAGTGTCAAATTTTAAATGCATTGGATCCACTCTAGCACTCTACTACCAAATGGTCAAAAGATGAAATTACCCAGATAACGTTTACTACGAAATGCATTCTTCCGGTTCACCAAAGCTTTATGGAGCCATCGCGAAATCACCATAAAGAAAGACCTCGTCTATATAGCAGGGTTTAGCTATATGACTGCGAGACATGGCCAATAAGATTGGAGGATATTAAGAAGCATCTGCCTTTTGACCCCTCATGTCAACGATATATTTCATACCCAATTGATAAAACCCTAATTGATTGCATCCACCCTCGCTCAAATTCCATGTGCATTAACAATACCATCATAGCCCCTTCGCTGGCTAGGTCACTTTCTTCGTCGCCTACCACAAAAAATGACAGATTCGTTACTGGTTGAGCCCTGTGATGGATGTCGTCAAAAACGGTAGTGAGGTGAGCTAAATAAGGCCTGGAATGATACGGTCAGGAAAGATTTTGAATATATAGGGGAATCGGCAATGCATCGACTTAGATGGCACAAAAAAGGTGGCATCTAATGCAATCAGTGATAGCGTTGGGGAAAATAGCTAATACAGTCAGTGATAGCGTTGGGGAAAATAGCTTGAAGACTTCTTACCCTCGCAGTCAGAGGAGCCAGCCCAACCAGTAATGGTGAGAGTTGTTAAAAGAAGAATCCATTCACTCAATCCAATCATTCAAGTTATTAAAAACTTAAATAATTTAAATTATTTTAAATAATTTTCTCATTTTATTGAAAAGACCATAAACAATAAAAAAAAAATAAATTATAATTTATTAAAAAAAAATTATAAAATCAAATTATAAATGCGAAGCGATTTACCGATTTACAAAGATAATTTTAAAGACAATTTTCATTAAATGCACCAAATCAATTATGAAGAATATTTTTTTATTTTGAATTATTAAGATAAAGCAAGTTAATTTAAAATTATTTAAAGATTCTAAAACAAAATTTATGGGTAAAATTTTCAAAAATTAAACTTTTTCCAAAAATAAAATTAGTAAAAATTTGAAATATATTATATTTATTAAAATATATTATTGAATATATTATTAAATATATGAAATATATTATTGAATATATGAAAAATATTATTTAATTTAATATACATTATTATATGTATTAAAAATTTAATATATATTATTATACATATTAAAAAAAATTTAAGTGAAATTTGATTGCTAATATCGAATGGATTGGAATTTGTGTAAGCGCAAAATTAACCTATGGAGTTGAAAAATAAAATGAGAAATGAAAATGAGTTAAAATAATTATAATTTTAAAATAATTCACTATTATAATTCACTAATATACTAATTGGAATTTAAATTCGAAGCGATTTATCAAAATATAGCGAAAAATTCCATTGTTCCGTTAGAAATATCAAATTAGCTATAAAGTTGAATTTTTTTCCTTTAAATTTATCAAAATCCGTAAAATAAATTATAAATTATTTGGAGAATCAAAATTAAAGACGAAATTTTTAAAATATTTATTTTATAAATATTTTAAATATTTCCAAAAAATTAAAAATATTAAATACTATAGCAATAATAATGCGAATTGAAAAAAAGTAAAAATGCAAGAATAAATATCATAATAAACTGCAAAAGCTTCAAAATTACTTCAAAACTCACTAAAAACCATAAATGTTACACACTTCAAATTTTATAACTAAATTTAAACCAAATTGCTAATTTTGAATTGCAAATGAATTGCTGTACTCATTCGTTCGAACTTATCATTATAATATATATATTATATTATATATATTCGGAATAAGCATATTAATCCATCTATTTTTATTTTTTAAAGAGTCCTCACCATCACTGGTTAAACTCGCTCCACTGGCTTGTCTCACTGAACAAATAAGGTGCCCTTTAGCGATAAAAACACAGGTAAATTGCCAGCACAACCCGAATTATTGAACAGGCTTATTCCTGTAGGGGGGAAGGGGGACAGAACCTCAGCATCTGCGCTCCAAATTGACCCAACAACACATTGAGTTATTCTCTCTCTTGATTGTATCATCATTTATTGTTACTAATATTGCATTATTATTATAAATTATTGTTATTGAATATTATTTATTATTATTACTATTACTATTAATATTGTCATCATTTTTTATTTTTAATTGATTGTACTTATTAAAGAAATATTACAAACCAAATTCATTCGAAATTATTAGAATTATTAGATTTATTAAAAAATACATTTGAAAAATTGGAAATTTTCGCAAAAATTAGGTTTTAAAAGTTGTTTTAAAATTTATGAAAATGCACTCTGAATTTCTAAAAAAAATCCAAACCAATTTTGGCAATTAATTTTTCATAAAATTCCATTGAACAAATTATTCCAAATAAATTAACCAAATTGTTTTATGAAATTGAAATTTAAAAATGAATTCAATGAAAAATACCGAATTATCTATCGAAATCTATCGAATTATTTGGCAAATATTAAAATATATAAAATATCTGAAATATAAATTAAAATTAATTTCAAAAGATTCTTTATTAATATAAACGCCGAATTCCCACAATAAATAAATATGAAAGGCCAAATTTTGCAAGCGATATCAATTTGAAATGGATGAAAATGGACTTTATATATTAAGTTAATAAAAAGTTAATATTGCAATTTATAACCAATTCCAATAACCAATGTACAGCCAAATCAGTTGAAAACTTCACAGACAAATTGAATATTTTTTATTTATATAATAATGGGAATATCAAAAATTTATGACAATGAACAAAATAAATATTAGCGTATTGCAACAAATTTTAAAAAATCATCCTTACAGGAAAAGTATATTTAAAATATATTTTATAAAATATAGCGCTATATCTAAAAAAAAGCCTTCTTCTCGACTTAACTCCTCAACCATTGGCGGTCATGATTACCAACAATCTCAGGTTTTCCACCAGGCTCTGAAATGTTGAGTATTCTGCGCAGTATAGGCAATATAGGCAACGTTGTCTATAATTATATGAAGCGACCAATCATTGCATTACATCATTTAATCAGTACTCTTTCCTCGCCTTTGAGTGGTCCGATCATGACGGAAATATCTTGATTTATAAAATTACTGGTTTGAGCTGTATGGATTTTATTGAGGTTGTTTCTGCATAGCATATTACCGGTTCTGCATATTACCGGTTCCAACCGATTTAATTTAATTTAATTTGCGGAGGTAGGCGTGCAAATTGGTTTTCTTTCTCTCATGCTTGAATATTTACTATGCTTTTCAGACTTTTTTTTGCAATGCATCGATATTCAAGAGCTTGTTTCCATCTGCCAATAAGGTTTGGGTTGCAAGAAGGGATCTATTATTTATCATTTATCATTATTATTTATCATTATTTATCATTTATCATTATTATTTATTTTTCACTCAATCAGATTCTGAATGATATGGGCAGAATTCGTTAAGAATATGGCATGCTTTTCGGCCCACTCCTCAAGCCATTTTTGAATTGAAGCAGACCTTATCGCTTACAATGATTTTTATATTTTCAAAATACTGTTTGAAGAAAACTGGTGAAATTGTGGAGCTCTGGAGTCTTGTGGCTTCATTCACAGAGGCATTGTCTTGAAAAGAAAACTTTTTGTTTAATCTAATCTAATTAATCCAATTGTTATTCATAAGATTCATTAAAAAATACTTTTCAAAAGTTGAAAAATTGCAAATTTTCCTAAAAATAAGGCTTTCAAATAAGGCTTTTTTTGAAATATTCGACAACACTTCTGAATTTATGAAACAAAATTTAATCCAATTTCGTATGTTTGATATTGTCTGCTACGCCCTACAGAATGAGGTGAATCATGGAAAATCTCAAGGATTTTTCGGTATATCCTCCCGTTTTACATGGTTCCATCCACAACAGATTCACATTTTGTAGTAGTATTCGTAGAGTCATATGATTAGATGTTTTCTCCGAAAGTATTTATTAGAGCTCAAGCTCGGCAAAGCGAACACTGGATACTGATGCCATATTTGTCAATATTGAATTCATAGCGATATTATGACCTATGTGCGATCCAGTTTCCTCCGATTATGACCATGTCACCTCTCGGCAAAGATGTTAATAGTTGGAGCTCCGCATCGAGGTCATCTGAGCATAAAGTTGGAGCATATATACTGATGACTGAAATATTGCAGAATTTTCCCTTGAGACGTGAGTAGGCCATACGATCATTTAGGTGTTGGTTTCCACTCAATCAGCAAATCGAGCCTTTTCAAACAATCGCTACGCCATTTCGCACGAGTTATCCGAGACGCCACAGTGGCATAGCCAATATCTTTGTTCGAACCAAGCTTAATAATTATTCCAGAGCCGACAGGAGGAAGAAGGGAAACAAATCACATTCACGCATTAATTAGAAGGATTGTGGATATTGACCGTTTGACTTGCAACCATAAGCGTTCTGACGTTACAATCAACTATCCAGCACCTCACCGCGTTTACAATGTGTTAGCGGATAGCTTCCTTGACGGATTTTGTACTTATCACGGTTTGCGAGTAAATTCTATATTCAAACTCTGGAATGAATTTATTGTCATTATTACGTCCGGATCGTATATTATCGCTTGCACTATCAAGTACCATCTAATTAAAAATATCAGGTGCGTCAAAAGCCGCCATATCAATAACCCTTGGAGATAAGGATATGGATCTCCAACTGCCATTGGGATGATGAATGACAGATTTACTTATTTCAAGAAAAATAAAAATACTGATAATTAAATTTTTAAAAAAATTGAGTTTTATTCGAGGACAATTAAAGAATAAAATTTAAAAAAAAAAAACTTATCTGATTCGCAGAAGAGGATAGTATTATTAAAATAATAATAATGGCACTTAATTATCATAGTAAATAATAAATAAATTATAAAATAATAATGGTAATTTGATAAATTTGATAAATATCGTTTTATTAACTTATTAGTGAGTGAGCAGAGCACGCTTTCGGCATAACATTTAAAAATTTTATGTTATTGCTGTTAGCTTTTTTATCACTTCTTAATGGCTAATTTCATTAAATTTATTTTATTTCATCACTTATTTTTTCCAATCTCTAAAAATTGTTGCTTATTTCACTAAAATTGTTATCTTGGTTTCACTTAACTTCTTATTCACCGTTTGTAATATGAGAATCAGTCGTTTTACTTGGTTCATTTCTCGATTTAATGAAATCAATAAAACAATTTTAAAATTAACCAATTTGTAAATTTCTTTTCCCATTGGAAAATTTCCATTTTTGGCCGAAATATTTCCGGCAGCAAGTTGAATTCGGAATTTATTCATAGCATCAAGAGCACTTTTTTTACATGGAAACTTTCCTTTATCGCATTTTCTTTTATCGACTGTAAGTGAAATGAATTATATTTCAAAAAACTATTCTATATATTAGTGCTTTAAAAATAAAAATCATAGTGAAATATGGAAATTTTTATTTATAAATTTGCTAAAGCAAATGAAGAAAAAATATTTCGATTGAAAAAAATTTTCTAAAAATAAATTCCTCTGCTGGAACTCAAATCAGCGGTTGGGAATTAAGTGAAAACCATGAAATTCTATTTCATTCAAACCTTTTTCTGTTTCGCAGAGTCCATCCTTGTTGCAAATTGAATTGGGACGACAACATGGCCACCCTGCTTCACATTGTTTTCCTTTTTTGTATAATTTCTTGAACATAAATCCACTAAAACTCGTAAAATTTATGTAAAATATATATGTATCTAAGATCAACAATAAGTGATTAAATTAAAATTATGAAAAATATTCTTAAAGAAAAATCATTACCTTGGCCAAAATTTGCAAACGGTATACTGAACAGTAGGGCGTTCATCCATTTTATAGTTTTCATAGTTATCATAGTATGTTCCATAGTCTTCCATCGAACTATAGTCAACTTGACATATATCATTTGTTGCACAACCTACTTGTACAGTTAGCCCCGAGGCTATCTAAAATATCTCAGGAAACTTAACGAGTGCAGTTATTACGCCAAAAATCTATCTAATGAGAACAACTTATCAAAACATTGCCTGGACGAAGTCATCCAGTGAACCGATTCTGGAAGTTGACACGCTAGTGCTATTGTAAAATTCTTCTACTCTTTTTGTCCATTCGCTTATTGCATCTTCTATCGGTT